GCTGACTTCCCACAGCTTGACTCCACTCATGTATTAAACAAATGCAGGAACAAGTAATAAATCCAAGAGGGTAACCAGCACAATCAGCAATAAAATCCAAAAGTATCCCATCACCCTTCGCAATCACTGGACGACACACAGTATCAGGAGTAGAACTGAAGTTTAATGGCAACATTCCTGCTTTTATGAGATTCTCCCATGCAAGGGAGATTCACTACAATTATTACAGTAACCAATCCCATAGACGTTACCTCCCACACATCTCCTCCCCTTAGATTAACATTTAACATACTTATACAGTGCACACTTTTCCCCAATTCTTAGATGTACCCCAAATATACCCCTGGTAGCCCTGATCTGGGTGAGGAACATATCCAAAAATCACCCAGATCAGACCAGGGGTTCGGGAGTTATGAGAAGGTAAAGTTTTGACCGACCGCATGGGTAAAGTAGCCGAAAATAGTTCCATGAGATCTGGCCCTGCGGTCAGTCTCCGTTCGTGCCTCAAAAGTCCTGAAAGGCTATACCATCCACAATGAAGTTGGTAACCGGATGAATCCCCTAGTTCGTGGGATTCATCCTACCGAACGACAGGCCATTCGTGTATTTCCCTTAGTTCTTTCTGAAGCCTTGGAGGTCTTAGCGGTGTTCAGTTAGTCGAGTGTCCGTTTTGAGTTCCAGACACTCGACGACCAAACACCACTGTTCGCGGGTTTAAGATGGCTGCCGCCACGTGTTCGGCTGCCGAAATGGCGGCCACCCATGAAATATAGCAGAGTGTTCATATGTTCAAGGGAATGTAACAAGCGATCAGGGAGGTAAATCACATCCATTCTTCTCACCAGGGTGGTCCGGTGATTCAGTACTTTGTTCGTATGGTGAATGTATCAGTTCACCTGCAAGCTGGTATATCCTTCTACCGAACAAAGTGTGGCTACATATAGTTGTATGCAATTCTGTATAATCCAGGCAAAGGGAAAACTCTGCAGTGCCAACAATAAAAGGAAATAAATGGGACAGCCAAAGGGGTTCCGCTACACACAGCTTAGTAGATCATACTGGTTGCAGGAGCACAAATTGGGCTATTAATTGATCTCATAAGTAGGTAACGCTGAAGCCATTACCTGATTTATAAGCTTGTTTTTTCTTTCACCTGGTCATGACCTTTTATTCTTTAAATCTGAATTCATTTCCTTAAAGCATAAATTTTATATTCAGTATTCTCTTTAATCCCTTGGATACCTGAAAGTTTGGCAATCCCTTTAGTATATGTCAGGGGTGGCATGCTTTTGGTTCTTAAGGAGTTAATGATCAGAAACTTGTGACAGATTCCCCTGTTGTGAAGGGGAACATTATAATTTCCTTTCTGCAATAAAGGTATTATTTTAGGCTCATGTGCTCCAGGTAACTTTTGATGCTGTGTATTGCAAGTATTTTAAGGTCTTTCCAGTCCCCAGACCATTCTACCAGGTTTACTATTTCAGGTAAAATTCACCTGCTGCCTGAACAATAGAGGAAATCCCTGAATAGGTAGTTCCATTACGGACCTCTTCTGATATTCATGGGGATTCTTCTAGGTGTCCTTATATCTGGAATTTCCAACCAATGTGTGGCTTTAAATGGTTGATTCATCCTGCATAATATAATGTAATGCAGCTTGTTGATGACAAACATTTGACTGATATGTTTTACAGGGTCTCTGTACCTAGATCGGTATAAGTTATGGTCACTCCTAACATTGCATTGACTTGTGGATTATATGTTTGGATTGGTGTTGATATCTTGCAGATATAACAAGTTGCTTATTATCGCCATAGGCTCTGCCATAAGTACTTCTTCACTATCTGAAGATAAGGTAAGAGTAACTATGCGGTTGTTGTTCTCATAAGGATAACTGAATATCTCCTATTATCCTGCTTATTATATTTCTGCTGTCACAATATATAATGTGCTTCTGGTTACCACCTTCCCATCAGTATCTTGCCTATTATATATATCTCTTACTTATGTTGCACAACAGTCTCTAATAAATTTGATTATACTGTTTGGCACAATCTGTACTATTTACAATATGTTTATCTTTGAATGTAGGTACTGATGCGGTTGGCCTCCTTATAATTTAGTAATTGCCAAAAATTCTATGGTTCATACCGATATTTCTTTTTTTTCCTCACCTAATCTGCACATGATTCTTCTTGCCTTTGCCTAGAAATGTTATTAGTTTATTCCTCCCCTGTGACTGATCGTTGCTGTATCAATTCATCCACTGTGTGAGGTATTGTTGTGAATCTGAATTTTGCAACATCGGATCATTGTTTCAGTGTTTTAATAACAGACTCTTATTTCTCTACTAGGCTCTGCCTCTTTCTGACAGGCTGATATTGATTTGTTCCTGTATCTTCAGGTAAGTAGTTCACAAGGCAAGAGGAAGCGGTGTGAATCGTATTTAATAAATACATGCAGTAAGTAGTAGGATTCTCAGTGTAATTCTCCCCGTGTTTAATAGCATGGTGTGTCTGTTCTCATCCAACATTATCTGCTTGTTCCAGTATGAACTCTGGAAGTTATGCCTTTGTCAAGGTTCTGATTTGTTGATATCAATTTGGTTTTAAATTTTATATCAGAATGACATTATCCTTCTCTAGCTTATGCTATCATGGCCTTAATTCCTATCTGACTCTATATCTATTCAGGATATTTCAGATATTGAATGCCAGGAGGTTGCTGACCTTGCAGCCTCTAGGGAAAATGATCTTGTCTGAGCAGATTTTATGACAATTTCCTCTTGATTCTTGTTTGGCTTTTTAAAGTCTTCTAAGGTTTATGCAGCTCAATAATGGTTTTATAACTATTGGCTGTTTTTGAACTCTGTCCCTCCCTCTATATATTCGGCTTGGGTATTCCCCATGAGTAAATGCTGCCATGAATAATGGTCAGGAAAATGGAAAATTGTTTCATACTTACTGTAATTTTCTTTTCCTGACAATTATTCATGGCAGCATTACGTTCCCACCTATATACAAGAGTTGTGAAGCTAGTTACAAAGACTGCCTGATGGGAAGGGGGAGGGTCTATTTATACCAGTTTCAAAGTTCTATTTCCTGTCCTTTCTGCTGTGAGGGGAGGAGCTAACCCTATGAGTAAATGCTGCCATGAATAATTATCAGAAAAAGAAAAGTACGGTAAGTATGAAACAATTTTCCATTATTCCTGACACTGTATTGTTAAAACCACCACCTAGCCCCCCCTGACCCCCTAAATATAGTAAAATCGTACCTTTACTTCAGTCTACTGCTGCTGGCTCTGCCTCCTTGGCTGACATCATCAGAATGGTGGTCTGAGCCAATCACAATGCTTCCCCATAGGATTGGCTGAGACTAGCAAGGAGGCAGATCAGGGGCAGAGCCCTGGCCAATCAGCATCTCCTCATAGAGATGCATTAAATCAATGCATCTCTATGAGGAAAGTTAAGTGTCTCCATGCATAGGGAGGAGACACTGAATGGCAGTCACACTGTGCAGCACTGCCCCAGGAAGCACCTCTAGCAGCCATCTGAGGAGTGGCCATTGGAGGTATACCTAGGCCGTAATGTAAACACTGCATTTTCTCTGAATAGACAGTGTTTATAGCAAAAAGCCTAAATGGAATGATTCTACTCACCAGAACAAACACGATAATTTCCCTTTAGTGACTAACCCTTTCCGATTGCTGTGGCAGTGAGCTTAAAATCATTATCATCCTACAAGCTAATCCTCACTTTTCAATGAGTTTTGGTGCATTTGGTTGAAGGTAAAGTGTTTTTTGCAAATTTTCAGAATTCCCCATGCGCTCACCTTGATACATCACTTGTTCTCCGTTACCTTTGGAGCTGTTGGAAATATTAAAACCTGGTTGAATAGTTCCTTAACATGTGAATGTAATCACAGTTTCTCTCCAGAGGACAGCATGTAACATGAACAACTGGGACCAAATTCACATAACAAGGACATTTGTAAAGAAGGCAAGGACAAATGTGGCGAGAGACTAATTTGTCCTGATTCCTGTAGAACCTTCCTTATTAACACAGGCGATGTGCTTGCTTTTCATATGACATATTATTGCCAGTGAATGAATACATTTGATGCTTTGACCTTGCGTTTTCCCAATTTATTCTAGCAGGAAATACTGAATCGTTATCATTCAATTCTGACTACTCGGTGGGGAGATCTCTCAAACCATTCTATGACCTTGTTTCGAGAAAACATGAATCTGTCACCTCTGAAAACAATCACACCCAGAAAGTGATAGGATTTGTCAGTATTAGTCTTAAGAGAGTTACTGACAAGTCAATTTTACCTTACACGGAACCCAAATGTATTTTTCTTTTACATACCAGATGTCCCTTATATCAAATAAATAGGTCATACTGACTTATGAAACAAATGTGTCATGTTGCAAACTCAATTAATAGTGGGTTTCATTATTTGTAATAGTATAATTTTGCTAAGTTAGTCCCCCTAAGGACATCTGCATATCGCATCAAATAAAAAACCTGCAATAATGCAGAACAGGAATTGGCAAGAGACATTTATAAAGTACATTTTGGGGGAGGGAGGGGGGTTCGTCATGTTGATTAAAGATAAGATAAAAAAAAAAACTGCGATTTTTGGGAAAGACCAATAAAATGCACGGAGATTGATTCATACATAAACTTCAAATTCAAAAGCAGGATTAAAGATACAAAAAAGATAAATTAGTGTAACAGGATGGGTGACCTGTCCCTCCATATTGTCAGTCTATTTTTCTTTGGCATCAGGGACCCCAACCATCTTTCAAGCAGAAATTGAGCCGTCCCATTCCTTCCACTGAGGCAGGAATCGCTCCCTTTGCCCACTCCGTCATCACAATCAGGAATCGCTCCCTCTGCCCACTCCATCATCAGTCAGGAATCGCACTCTCTGCCTGCTCCATCATCTGTCAGGAATGGCTCCCTCTGTCCACTTCCTCTTACAACTCTGTAGCTGATCCCAAATACCAGGAAGCAGTGAAGCAAGGCAGCCATTAGACTTAGGCATCTGGATTATTTATTTGTGAACTGGGACTACCCTTTAGCAATGCTCATTTAACTTATTGTGATGCATTCAAAACTGTGCAAAAAATGTATAAATATATAGTCAACAATAAAATATATAACGGTCACACAGGGGAGCATAAGCGAAAACATATCAAATCCAAGTCCCAGAGCATTCAAACTATTTCACAGTATCCGCAAGTCTATGCAAATCAGAAAGTCACTGCACATAACGAAGATTTAACCAATAGATACCACTGCTATAGCATCCCTTTCTTAAAGGGACGCTATAGACACCAAGACCACTTCACCTCAATATAATTGGTCTGGGTGGAATGTCCATCATTTTAAAGGGACACTATAGGCACTCTGACCACTTCAGCTCATTGAAGTGGTCTGTGTGCAATGCCCCATCCCCTTGACCCTGCAATGTTAATTATTGCAGATTCTAAAAATTTGACAGCAACTAGAGGCACTTCCGCAACTATTAACAGATCAAATGACTCATTTAGAGCTTCTAGATGTGCAGCATTTGCACTAGTGTCTCGATGCTTCAGCACTGCAGAATGTAAGGCAGGTCAGGTCATACCTTCCCATGTAACCCCTGCAAGGGGCGATGGACTCCTAGTTAGGGGAATACATTGTGCACCGGTCATGAAAGATGACCTAGTGTTATTCCTCCCTCTTTAATTCAACTTTCGCCTGATTGCGGCAGATTATCTCCAAATGCCATCATGCTAGTAATTATGGGATGCAAACATTTTTGGGGCAGTGCTGCTGGATTTATTGAGGCAGCCAACAGAGAGAAAAGGTGTGTAAATCTTCAAAGTACCTTATACCCAACTTGTTACTTTTCCCCCTGTCAATTATCAACATCAAAACAAAACAATGGAAATAAAATAAATAAAAATAGAGGAAGATTTTATGAACGGACACGACACAATGTGTGTTAAACATTCTCAAAACTGTATTATGAAATCTAACTTGGTAAATTCTTAAAGCATACAAAAAATGTATATTATATACATAAACAATTTATGAAAATGTTGCTTTTTTACATTTTTAATCTGATTCCACATCTGGTCTCTGTACAGAGAATCAAATATTGATTCAAGAATCTGAATCCAAACATTGATGTTTTCAACATCCATCAAACGATCGGATAGAACATCTGTATTGCTAGACACATGGTTTATTAACATCCAAGCTCAATGGATAATATAATACCACGTATGGAATGGAATGGTATAATGAGAGGACATGGTCTGATTTTATGATAAAAGGAAATTAGACAGAATTTGTAGAGAAATGACCACTTCTAAAATAATGAAACATTCAAATAGCTTTTTTTTTTTTTTTTTAAACTTCTAGTTAAGAAACATGAAGCTATTCTGGCACAGACTGGGAATCAATACAAATTTGAGATGTCCCATGATTCCCTGTACATGGCAATTTCAATATTTGTGTGTGCAGCAAATACAAGTGGATCTTCAGTTTGTCAAGAAGGGACTCAAACAACACTGATTAAGAAGACTGTCTGTATGGTAAACCAAGTACAGGAGAAAAAAAAAATGTTGCAGAAAATGAAATGGAAAGGTTTTATAATAAAGCACTTTTCATATAATTTAACACACACAAGCTCTGATTAAAAAGGGATTGCAGATGAAGCCAGGATTCATCAAGACGTCCTGACAAAGAGGAGATTTCTTCAAGTAGCTTTGGTTCAGAAGCAATAAACCTCAGATGCAGCTGGAAGGCAAGGAAGAGGTATTAATATATGGAAATCAATACACTGTGTGTATATTTAAAACAATTGTCTCCTGGTTTATTCTAGTGGTTAAAGGGACAGTATAAGCAACTTAGCTGTATAGATCAGGCTCCTGCAGTCTCACTGCTCAATTCTTTGCCATTTATTGCTGACTTTCTACAGCCATAACCACATCTCCCCTGTCTGTGAGTGACATGGGAGGTCTGGCTAGGGCTGTATAAGCAAAGTCTTCCTAAACACTTCCTGTAAAGAGAGATCAAATATTTACATTTCCTTTATTGCAAATCAGGTTTAATTTAGAATGTATTATCTCCTGCCCTGTTAATAGCCTTCTAACACCTTGCAGGAGCCTCCTGTGTAATATAGGATAAAAAAAATAGCATTAGAAAAATGTCTAAAGCAAGTTACCATCTGATTAAAAGTGATACCATTTTTTTCATGCAGGCTGTGTAAGTCACAGACAGGTGAGGAGCAGCTAGGGCTGCACAAACAGAAACAAAATTGATTTAACTCCTAAATGGCAGATATCTGACCAGTGAGACCACAGTGGCATTATTTATACACAAAAACTGCTTCATTAACCCCTTAAGGACTGGACTGTTTTTGCGATGTTGTACATTTGCGACCAGGCATATTTTTACACTTTTGTGGTGTTTGTGTTTGGCTGTAATTTTCCGCTTTCTCATTTACTGTTCCCATACAAATTATATATTGTTTTTTTCAGGACAAAGGGGGCTTTCTTTACATACCATTATTTATATAATCTCATGTATTTTAATTTTTAAAAAATAAAAAAATATGATGAAAAATTGAAAAAAATACATGTTTTTTGACTTTTACTTGAAAAATCTTTTACTCATCTACAAAAGCGAATGAAAAAAACTACTAAATAGATTCAAAATTTTGTCCTGAGTTTAAAAATACCTAGTGTTTACGTGCTTTTTTGCTTTTTTTTGCATGTTATAGGGCTATAGGTACAAGTAGGATATTGCGGTTTCAAAACATACATTTTAAAATTTATCAATAGTGACATTGTAACACTATTATCTGTCATAAATCTCTGAATAACACCCCACATGTACATATTTTTAAAGTAGACAACCCAGGGTATTCAATATGGGGTATGTCCAGTCTTTTTTAGTAGCCACTTAGTCGAAAACACTGGCCAAAGTAAGCATTCATATTTGTTTGTGTGTGAAAAAGTAAAAAAACTAAATTGAACGCTAATTTTGGCCAGTGTTTGTGACCAAGTGGTTACTAAAAAAGACTGGACATACCCCATTTGCAATACCCTGGGTTGTCTTCTTTTGCAAATGGTATGCCATCATGGGGGTAATTCTCATTCCTGGGCTACCATACGCTCTCAAAGGCAATGTAACCAACCTGGCCATTTTCAATGTAAAAATATCTGACCCATATATTTGACCTTGTAACTTTCAAAAATGCTATAAAACCTGTACATGGGGGGTACTGTTTTACTCAGGAGACATCGCTGAACACAAATATTAGTGTTTAAAAACTGGAAAACGTATCATAACAATTATATCATCAGTAAAAAGTGCTGTTTGTGTGTGAAAATGCAAAAAAAGTCACTTTCACTGACAATATCATCGCTGTGATATGTTTTACTGTTTTGAATCACTAATATCTGTGTTCAGCGAAGTCTCCCGAGTAAAACAGTACCCCCCATGTACAGGTTTTAGGGTGTCGTAGAACGTTACAGGGTAAAATATAGTGCTAGCAAATTAAATTCTCTGGAATTTCGGCCTGGGTTGGCAGGCAGGTCCCTCAAATTGCAATCAATAAAATTACTGAATTATGTAAAAATATTACATAAATACGCACGTAGAATTTAAATATATATGCATATTTATATATCTGAAGTCTACGTGTATATTTATATAATTATTTATGTAATTTTGTATATGGACGTATGTATATTTCTTATTATTTTTATATACATAGATATATATACAAATTCATTCTAAGTGTATTTTGATATAGAAACATAGAATGTGACGGCAGATAAGAACCATTCGGCCCATCTAGTCTGCCCAATTTTCTAAAAACTTTCATTAGTCCCTAGCCTTATCTTATTGATAGGATAGCCTTATGCCTATCCCATGCATGCTTAAATTCCTTTACTGTGTTAACCTCTACCACTTCAGCTGGAAGGCTATTCCATGCATCCACTACCCTCTCAGTAAACTAATACTTCCTGATATTTTTAAACCTTTGTCCCTCTAATTTAAGACTACGTCCTCTTGTTGTGGTAGTTTTTCTTCTTTTAAATATAGTCTCCTCCTTTACTGTGTTGATTCCCTTTATATATTTAAATGTTTCTATCATATCCCCCCTGTCTCGTCTTTCCTCCAAGCCATACATGTTAAGATCCTTTAACCTTTCCTGGTAAGTTTTATCCCGCAATCCATGAACCAGTTTAGTAGCCCTTCTCTGAACCCTCTCTAAGGTATCAATATCCTTCTGAAGATACGGTCTCAGTACTGTGTACAATACTCCAAGTGAGGTCTCACCAGTGTTCTGTACAATGGCATGAGCACTTCCCTCTTTCTACTGCTAATACCTCTCCCTATACAACCAAGCATTCTACTAGCATTTCCTGCTGCTCTATTACATTGTCTGCCTACCTTTAAGTCATCAGAAATAAATCACCCCTAAATCCCTTTCCTCATATGTTGAGGTTAGGACTATATCAAATATTCTGTACTCTGCCCTTGGGTTTTTACGTCCAAGATGCATTATCTTGCACTTATCCACATTAAAATGTCAGTTGCCACAATTCTGACCATTTTTCTAGTTTACCTAAATCATTTGTCATTTGACTTATCCCTCCTGGAACATCAACCCTGTTACATATCTTAGTATCATCAGCAAAAAGACATACCTTACCATCAAGACCTTCTGCAATATCACTAATAAAAATATTATATATATATTAATTTTAAAATACAGTTAGAATAAAATTTCATATAGCTATAATTTTTTTTTAAATTTTTTATTATTATTTAAAAAAAATTATTTAATTTAAATTAATTATTTATATTTTATAATATATATATATATACAATATATATAATTATATATTATATATATACGCGTGTAATTTAATTATAAGTGTATTTTTAGATTAATATAAGTACATATTAATATAAAAATACACTTAGTATGACATATATATATATGATATATAGACATATATTATATAGATATAATATATGTCTATATATCATATATACACATATATAATTAATTATTTATTTTTTAATTAACATTAACTTTATTTTTTTTCTGATTTTACACATGCAGGGAGACTGCCTGTCAGCACAGGCAGTCCCCCTGCAGGCAGACACATGGACACCTATTGTGACCATGTGATCGCTGTGTTAAGCGATCACATGGCCACAGGGGTCCTAATCTGCCGTGGGGAGACTGTCTGGGTTGCAGACAGTCTCCCCACAACCGGAGCCACGCTGATCAGGTAAGTAGCTCTGACCGTTAGGACGGTTCAGGACCGTCATCGGTCGGCAACGCAAAAATGCCGATGACGGTCCTGAACCGTCCTCGGTCCTTAAGGGGTTAAGCTAAAGTTGTGTTGATGCTTAAAGTATCCCTTTAACTTTGCATTTGAGATGAATGCATCTTAAACAATTAACATTTTACAAGTGATTCGCCTACTATTCATTACTATTATTTGTATGTGTTTAACTTCCCTGGTGGTCTGATTATGTCTGTATTTTTGAATATTAAAGTGGTACATTGTTTTGTATGTAAATTTGTTGTTTCATATTGTAGGCTTGTAATGCTTAGGAATAACTCAAATTTGTCCAAACAAGAGTCTAGTAGACATCTCGGGATGATAAAGTTTGAAAGCCGAAATCATAAATAATAGAATTAGAAAAAATATAATAAATGTAATCAAAAGAAACACTGAAATTTGTCCAAGCAAGGGTGCAATATTACTAGTTACTGTAATACTAGACAGTGCATATTGGTTTAGTAAACATCACGGGTATGAAAAATTCTGAAACATGGGACTGCACAAAGTCCGACGTCACAATCAGGACAATGAACCTGGTTTCCTTTCTGATTTTCTTTTAACTGTCATCTCGCTTCGAGCAACAAACCACACACATCCTTGTAGGTGCTGACTTTTTCTTGGTTGGTGGGATGTAGTCCATGACGTGACGACCAGGCAGGCGTTCCGGGTTAACAACGCCAACAGCACGACGTCCAGCTATATTCACAGCCATTGATAGTGTTTGGTGCTCGTTGGGACAAGGTAAGTGATACTACAGTGTAATCCCGAGCATGGTACTGAAAATTAACCCAGAGTCACGCTAGGGATTAACGCCAGGGAGGTTAAACACTTTCCTGTGCTAATAAAACTATATCAGTCTGTAAAAAAGACTAGCAAACTGACAGTGCTTTGAGGTTTATACTAACCATGCATATCAAATAGCAGATATACAATCTGCATTGTGATAGTATACATCAAAGCACTATAACTTACTAAATGTTTAGTTTTGACAATGTATTTTTTTTATATTGTTTTTTTACCCCATTAAATTTGCCTTGTATATATTCACAATGCTCGTTCAACTGATTAATTCAATTCCCTTTAGGTCATTTAACACTAGCATTATTTAATGTTTATCCCATTAAAATGAGTGTAAGACCCACCGATATTGGGGTAGTGTGATGTAGTGGTGGGCTTAACACAATATGCCAAATGATGAAACTGAATGCCCATATTTGTGTGCTGAGATCAGTGATTTTAATTAGCCTTAGAAAGTTTTAAACTGTGTTTCTATGAGCAATGTTATTTAATCTGTACTTGATCTCACTACTACGACAAAGCATCATTCAATCTCTGCACACACAGAGGTGGAAATTTGTATCATTTTTCAGTATGTATGCCAATAACCATGACTATTATAAACCTGGTCATGCAATCTCATTTTATCCCCAACATTTTTGTATAACATGTCAATTACAATTTTGCAACTTTGCATATACCAGGACATTAATCTATACGCCAAATTGTATTCCATATTTACGGCTAGATATGTGTGCATAAACAAAAAAACAACATCTGTAGTAGAAAATAAATACGTAATAATAATTTACCTTTAAGAACAAAGCAAGGTATGCTTGAGCCAGATCAAAATCTCTTCTGGTATCCAACATGCTTCCAATCATTTTTAGGAAGCTCTGCATCACCTCTACAGATCCTCCACCCTCTGGGGCCAGATTTCTTAACTCTATATCCACAGCTGACGGTCCCATTTCTTTTATTGTCCCTATCGGAATGTTGTCTGCAATAAAGAAAATAGTCCATTTACACACAGCACAATGTTAATATATTCTCCCCACAGGATTTTGGAAAAATTAATTTGCAAGCCATTCTTCTATCACCTTACCATATGTGGTCCTTCTACCCAACAGTTTCTCCATATTATTTTATAGTTTTGCAATTAGACACTAAAGAGGTTAACTAGCAACGAATGCAAGTAAAATATAAATAAAACCAAAAGCAAAAAAATAAAATAAAAATGTATACTTATCCCAGTGTTCTAAGAGTGCGTAATAGTTTTTGTTTTAACTCTAAAAAAAAAAAGCACTTAGGATTCAGAATGGAATCTTTTTATTTGACAGATGTTTTTTTTTTCTGCTTATACATGATCACATTGATTACCAGCACATACAAATACATGTATAATAAATAGTATCTGTGTATAGAAATTCTATTATACAGAATAAAAATTGCAGATAATCCTGAAGAAAAACAAACAAAAAACATGTTTTCAAGCAAAAATATACTGAAATGCTAATGCTCAATTATGCATCAATTGAGAGACGTTATAAAATGCAAGTTGTGTTTTGATCAGCACTTGGTGGGAATGGTCATTTGGTGTGAGGCACAGAAGGGCGAATTTACAGAAAGCATTACTTGTATTAATTACAAGTACTAACCTACTCTACACAAATTAATGTGTTTGCTCACTATATAAATCATGCTCAGAAATTTATCTTATGCAGTTTTATTTTGCACTTTTGGAACAAAAAAGAAACACAAAAACAGGGAAACATTGCAAAATGGAAGGTAAGGTCACAAACAGCGGCCAATGAAACAAAAACCAATTTTTTAGAACAAAACCAAAACAACTAAGGAATAACCGATTGCACACATTATATTAGTTATGTAGGCACCTGGAGTGGAGAAAGCAATCAGATGTCATTTGACAGTGTCAGCTTATCTACATTCTGGCTTTATGAAACTTGCAAAAACTTTTGTAAATCTGTTAAGCTGATTTAAGCTGACAGTGTCAATTTATCAACATTCTGGCTTTATGAAACTTGCGCATTTTGTAAATCTGTTAAGCTGATATTCAGCAAACAGGCCATCTAAAAATATTAGTCAGAAAAGGAAATGTTGGCACACTGTGATTGAACTCTAGACTTGAGCAAACATTTGTTTCAGCTGGTACAAACAAGTCAATTCCTTATTCCTTGATTGATTTATTTGGACGTAGATTAAAAAGAATTTGAATCATTCGTAACCGCTGAAATGCATTTGTGAACAACTGTACTGAACTACCAGGTTTAATTGGATGTTTTGATGCCCGAATTATTTACTTTTAGGGTTTTAATTCTCAATATAAAAATGTCTAAAAAGATGTTTGCTGATTAACAGAATACCTGTACAAATGATTAGTTGTGAAATGTTTAAATAAGTGATGGACAATTCTGAAGTAGAAAGATTATTTCAGGAGACAAATTCTAAGTAATTTCAATGATAGAGGAAGGCTGAAGAAATACCAAAATCAGGAAACTGGAAGACGCAAATTCCAAATTATTTTTCCCCCACACATATTTCACTTCAATTTATTGGCTGATTTTGTATATTTATGGGTTAAGAATAGGCACTAGAAGTCTAAAATTGAACTTACAGTTTTGACTTTCAAAAGCTTTTTCCAGCTGGATGTAAAATGCAGATTTCTGTTCGAGAACTCCAAGATTTACGATTTTAGACTAAAATGCAAAACATGACAGACAGGTTAGAGACTTGGTGCTTAAAGGGTTATTCCAAGCACCATCACCACTAAAGTAATCTGAGGAAGTTACGGTGCTTGGAGTTTGTTTGTACAGAATTTCAGTATAAAACACTGCACATACAGGGATATTTAATATTGCTGCTGTAACTCCACCCTGGCTGCGTCACAAGTGTTCTGCGCTGGCTAATGTCAATTCTGTGCAAATTTTATTCACAGAGTCATTAATTGGCTGAGAGAGCCCAAATGACACGCTCAGCGATTAAAGATTTGGTCTAGTGGGATCGGCATCTGAATTAAATAGCTCTACAGAAGTCAGATGTGCATAATTGGACAATTCAGGAAGCTTGGCACCAAGCCAGGACACAGGTTAGAGTGCAAACAACTCCAAAACAGTTTCCCACCTTTAACGGAGAATGGTGCCTGGCATCATTACTACTACAGCGGACTCTAGTAGTTATGATGTTGGGAAACCCCTTTAAGCGGTTAAAGGCTACAGTATCAGAGCTGAATATCCATCATTTTATTTTCAATCGGTTAAATATAAAGTGCAAGGTTGTAAGACTGGAGAAATCCATAGGAACATTCTCCTAGTTATATATAAAGGGCAATGTTAAAAAAAAAAAAAAGGAATCTTTACATAAAGGGCAAGGTTCTAAGACTGGAGCAATCCATAGGAACATTCTACCCAATAGAAAGTTCCTACCCAATGCTCCAGTTTTTAAAACCTTATCATTCATATAGGACTTGTAATACATGAATTGTTAGGTTCTAAAAGTTGGAGTGATCTGTATCAACATTATACCGGTTCTATACAAAAGGCAAGGTTCTAAAACTAGAACAATCGGTAGAAACATTCTACGAGTTTTATATGAAGGGCAAGGTTCTAAAACTAGAGCTATATATAGGAATTTTGTACATATATAAATATATGGCAAAGTTCTAAAACTGGAACAATCTGTACGAACCAGCTAGTGGTTTTATATATATATATATATATATATTTTAGTTATTTTCTATATGTCACCTCTGTTATATAACAAGGAACTGTGAATTACAGAGATGGCCACGTACCGGTGCTGCTTCTTCCTGTCCATTCACCGCAAAGCGAGGAACAAGCCCAGGTAGAGTAGGGATGAAAAAGGGAGCAGATTTGGGCAATTTCGGAGGCTCTTTTGGCTTGTTTCGTCTCTAAAGGTGAAAAAAGAAAAGCAATGTACATGTTAAATTTTAATGTACTTTTCCCATGTCTATGATGTGCAAGCTTTCAATGAAAATATGCCTTGAATAATTTTAAGTGACCAACAAGCAAGATTACAAATCAAATGCACAAACAGCAAGAGTTTTCTTTTACATGGACAGTGATTACAAGTTTTTTCCCCTCTAAAATTAGTCTAATTTACAGGCGTTCTATTCTTCTGTTGATAGACTACATGACCATTTCTATTAAGGTGGATTGAATACCTTGATAACATCAAGATTTAAGAGATTCTTCCACCTCGACTCTGGCAACAGTGATAATGTCACAAGCCGTTCTCCCAGCTGTTCGGGAGACTCATACTCCATTACATCATCTTGACCTTCTTCCAGGTCAGCGGTTGTGTCCTCATCTGTAAACAAAATATTCCGCAGAGTTACATGAAAATAACGCCAATGGATTTTATCAATGTGATCTTCTAGGTATCAACAAGAGAAAAAGAAAAACAAAACAAAAAAAAGGCCACAGCGGGAGACTGCTGGGAATTCTCGAAGAACTCTAATTTGAGCTAATAATTCACGGAACTCAGCATTTGTAGATAACGATAGAAGAAAAAAAAAAAGAAAGTGTTGGAAAATCTAAAATTGCAGAGATGAACATTTCAAAGAAGAACTAAATTAGTTGGAGGACCCACCAAATTATGCACGTTAAAAATATTCTGTCAAAATCAATAAAGTGAAATTTCTGATGTGGAGAAAGAATAAATCTTGATTTAGGGATTAATAGTATCACATGAAAAGCATACAATTTGTGTTACTTCTTTCAAAGTTATTTGAGAAAAAAAAAAATGGTTTTAAAGTTACTCAAGTGACAACAGCATAAGTGTGGGAAAACTGCAACTTTATTATAATCATATGTAAAATACTAGATATAAAGGCAGCAGAATTGTACAAATTACCATCTCTTCTATTAGAGGTAAAGAAGTACTCCCAGGTCCTAGTATTAGAGGTAAAGAAGTACTCCCAGGTCCTAGTATTAGAGGTAAAGAAGTACTCCCAAGGCCAAGTATTAGAGGTAAAGAAGTACTCCCAGGTCCTAGTATTAGAGGTAAAGAAGTACTCCCAAGGCCAAGTATTAGAGGTAAAGAAGTACTCCCAAGGCCAAGTATTAGAGGTAAAGAAGTACTCCCAAGGCCAAGTATTAGAGGTAAAGAAGTACTCCCAAGGCCAAGTATTAGAGGTAAAGAAGTACTCCCAAGCAGCATATACAACAATGCACTATTTAGGCATACTGAAATGAAATATACATAAATAATAGATAAATATTACTTCCGGGACACCCAAAATACTTGGATTCTGGGGATGGTTTTTCTGCAAACCGGTTGGTAGTGAAGGGGTTAATGTCTTGATAATGGCCCAGGTAGAATTTTTCACACAGCTTACCTTCCACTTCATCGGTCATACCAGGGAGCATAACTACAGCAGGCTCATAGTTGGCAGGAAGTGGACGCAAGGAAATCATAGAGAACAAAGATTTATTTGACCTGAAATTGAAACAAACATATACAATATTTAACATTCTGAAAAGTATAAATGGTTCGTTGTTAGGTTACCAATATCATATACCAGCCTCACACAGTGTAGACAATACAAGATGTAAACCTTCATTGGAATACGTGTCCAGCAGCACATATTTAACACTATCAGTGCTGCAGGAACACACACCACTTCCTTTCACGATCGTTCCACTTACCAGAGATAAATTCCCAAGTCATCTACATGAGCCGTGGAGAGAAAGTCTCCTGTAGGGGACATGGAGAGACTCACCACCGCAGAATCCAACAGAAAACAGTCTATGAGGCTGTGGAATATAAACATAAAGTAAGCAACTACTACCTTTGTGCTCTGCCCCCGTGTCAGGAATCCTCCTAAACCCTTCAGCTGTTATTGATATGCAACTTTAACCATGTCATCATAATTACTCTACCATAACCACTTCAGATTATTACAGCTAACACAGCCCCAGGACTCTCAGTCTCACAAAAATAAATAAAAATAACCCAAGATTTTACATAGCACCACAATCACTACAGTGAGCTAGAATAAATAGTTATGGTGACTTTAAAAAGTCCCACAATGTGACTCGGCTTTTTAAAGAAAATAGGTACGATGCTAAACAAAATGTCAAAATACAACATTCAGGCACTAAAAGAATGGGAGCTTGTCATTTTGTTTTAACACAAAAGGCAATTATTATTTTTGCTATAATGAACCATAGAGTACTAGTAATCAATGGTAGCAATAAACCAATTGTCTGCTCACTCCATAATCTAACTGCATCAGATTCTAGTTACTTTGTTTTCGCATTGCTGTAAATGGACAGGAAGCCTGTTTCGTGATTTACCAGGCGAACTTACCATCCAGATGGAAGGTCCCACACTTTAACAGTACAGTCCATTGATGCGGTTAACAACCACCGACCATCAGGGCTAAAGGTCTTTTAAAAGAAAAGTGAGGGGGAAAAGTAAAAAAAAATTTTTTTTGTAAAAATGCAGATATTAAGTTCAGCCATCAGTGTGAAAGAACAGAGTATGTGCAATGGTTTACCAGTCATGGAACTTTAAAAATCAAGAAAATTACCATGTCATTTATCTTTCCATTGTGGCCAGAAAACTTTCTTACAATTCTTCTTGTTTCAATATCTAAAACATTTAGACCAAAATCATCCAGTGCGACGGCCAGCATACCACTGTGGAAACGGAAAAGGATAAACTGTTGAATTTGTGGAAACAAACAAGTTAAATGAGCAAACGGCGGTGATATCAGCTTTCAAATACCTAGAACCCAGGAAAAACCTCAGAGAACCGCAACAAAGGTAGAATTTGGGGTCATTACAACGTGATTTCAGGGACCATGTCTTCTTCTAAGGTGGTCAGAAAATTCTCCCCATCACCTACGGTTTGTAATAGCATTGCTTTACCAATCTTACATTCAAAATGAAGTGGGTTAAAACCACATAAAAAGGTAAACTTTGTAAATTATTGGTCAGCATAGGATGCCCACGTAACTGCACGCTTTATGATACGCTGAAATGAATGAAAATGGCTAAATAATGCAATAACCTTATCTTCGGAAGGTAAACAGATTAAATACCTGCCCGCTGGTTAGATAAAGCCATTGTAATGTTCTGTTTCTTACCTTTCTCTGTGGAGCAGGATACCAGTCGGTGGGGCGCTGAGGGTTATAGTCTGAATTAGTTCTTTTGTCTTAAACTTCCAAAACTTTATTAGTTTGTCACTGCCAGCGGTGATGGTCATTTGATTTATCCCATCCACAACAACTCCCCTGACTGAGCCTTCATGTGCTATAGCCACGGGCATGAAGTGGGGGGGGAGGGTGAAAAAAAATTAAAATAAAGAATTCAATTTGGTTATTCTGGGTCAACGGGTTAAATCAGAATAAAGAATAAAACAGAAAGTTATCAGTAAAGGAGGGAAAGGGTAAGTCCCCTCAAAGGAGCTGCAATCATTTACTCTTACATGTTCTTGTTTAATTATTTACAAACTAGTGGCATTTTTAGCTCTGATAATAAAGGGAAAGTAATATAAATTAAATAGCTTACAAATGTAGACTAAAATTAGGAGATCCAAAACCTGTATGACAGGAGCGCTAATTTAATGCACTAATGAAAACCTTTAAATAATTCATTCTAAGTATGTTGCACTTAAGCAAAACTTATCTTTCCTTCTTGAGTAAACTGCCTTTTATCCCACGATCACTTTCACGTTAAAAAAAACAAAACAAAAAAAACCAGGGTTATTCACTAAACTAGGAATCGCAGGAATTCTCAGTGATTTCAAATGTAATTTCACATTTAAGGTCAAAATAGATCAACTGGAAACATTCTCCAAGTCAGCAATGCTTCCAGACGCTAACATTTAACTCTAAGTGCTACAAGCGCACGTTGGACAGCAAAGGAGGAAGTATATTTCCTGTTTTGAAGTCACTATTTCGAGTGGTTGTCTTACAGTTTTACACATTGCTGCAGGTATAAGTCACTCTGGGGAGAAAGAAGGAAGCAGGCTATTCTGTGCATCCTAACCTTAGCAATCACGCACATGTTTCAGTTCTTAGTGACCATTTAAAAACACACACAAAAAAAACCTGACAATTAAGATGTTTAAAAATGCATACCTCTTTCTTTGCCATAGTGCCCTCTGTGAATCCCGGACTGAATATTATACATATCAACTTCACCACGTGAAAGACCAACCAAGGCAAAATTACCACAACTGGTCAATGCAACAGCCTGCCAATCAAAAGGAGAGAGGTGAGCAGCCTGCTGTTTGCTTTTATCCTTATGAAAGTATTAGAATTATTCCATAAAGTGAGCAACATATTAATGCAGCTATAATGGTTCTTCCCTAAAACGGCGCTGTGTCACCAACTTGCAAGCATCAGTAAATAGAGCACGACAAAATAAATGTACAAAGAAAAGTTAACGAATGTAAAGATTATTGGAACTTAAATATATTTATTTTCAGTATTAGAGTGGAGTGTTCCTTACTTAGGATACATGGCCCTCCCTGCACTGTGAATAAATAATAATAAAGGGACACTCCACAGCCCATATTCATTGAAAACCACTATTTAGTAGATAATTATGCATTTTCCCATAGGAGTTATTTCTGAAAACAGTTTGCAAAACCTGCAAATCTTGTCTGTAGCCTTTGCAAGCCCTCCCCTTCTAACCCTGCCCAGGCTTTCTGTGGCTGTCCAATCACATGCTTTCCAATGCAGCTCAATGAGAAGTCTTTACAAGACAGGTGTTCTGGGCAATTGCTGCTTCATGGGTTTAGTTCAACTAAGCTAAACAACCAGGAAGTAACAGGACCGGTTGTCTGATTGACAGACAAGGGATGAAACAAGGTTCATTTCTATTGAAATCTGCACACTTTTTCAATTTCTATTGACAAAGGACACACTGCTCACACAAAGCATGCCAGCACACTGAAGTACTATAGGGGTCTGGAGTGCCCCTTAAAAAAAAATTCTGGTAAATGTGGCCATTCAATTGCTCCTCCCTCAGTGAGATCATCTGTCTGTCAGTTGCATTACAGACCTATTTGGCTGGGTGTAGTGATTGCTGTACATTCCCATTAGATGCTTCTATGAGAAACATGAAGACTTATTGACTCATGAAACATGAAGACTTATTGAAAGCCTTTACTGGGAGGGTGCCTCGACGGCTGTTTGAAAGACTAATTGCTCATTGACTAGCAGCCACTAGAGGCATATTGACTGAGAAATGTAAAAACTAATTTCTCACAAACAGCCATGTTCACATTTAGGAGGCTGCAGAGACAGAGACTCTGCTCCAAAACATTTACATTAAGATGTAATGTCCTTGGTGCTTACAGTGTGCCTTTAAGAAAATAATGTGTAAAAAAAAAAAAAAGTTAATATAATAATGAAAAAGAAAATGGGTTAAAATGGAGGGTCATTAGAATATATTGCCATACTCCAAGCTTTCACAAGCTAGCTGCAATATGTGGGATTAGCTTACAGTTATGTTGGTTGATTTTTGCATTGAACAAATTGTAATGATTTAATTCATCTCTATGAGGAGATGCTGATTGGCCAGGGCTGTGTTTGCATCATGCTGGATCTGCCTCAGCCAATCATATGGGAAAGCATTGTGATTGGATCAGGCTACCACTTCTGATTATGTCAGCAGACTTTTTTTTTGCCAAACAGCATGCAGATTTACAGCTTCTGGCTTGAATACAGTAAGATTTTGATTTATTTTTGGAGGCATGAGGTGCCCAGTGGGGCTGGATGGTGGTTTTAACGCTATAGGGTCAAGAATGCATGTTTGTGTTCCTGACCCTATAGTGATCATTTAAATAATAGCTAGCTGCTCAAAATGTACAATTTTAAACTATATAGAAACTCAAACTGTATATCATATAGATGCATTAAAAATATAAGCTCAAATCTTACATATAACTTTCTGCTGTTCCTGAATTACAGCTTTATTTAGAGCTGCTGGCAGGAGTTACTGTTATCCACATGTGATCTTCCATAAAACTGGCAGTCATTTTGGAGTTTTATACACAGCTTGTATATTAACTATACAATTCTATTAGACAGTACCCAGTACACTTACAGTTGCATGGATTCCAAGTGCAGTACTATTTTTGAGGCCTGGTGGCTTCAGCTTGTGAGCTCCCATAGTGGTCCTGACATAATTCCAGGTTGTGCACGTAAGGTAATTTTGATGGCATGCAATAATGCCGTCCCATTCATTCTGCCGCGCCAACTCTGTGAAAATACATAAACTGATCAGATCAAATGTCCTAAAGCTAGGGTGCCGTCAGTCATTTCAACAGATTAACAATTATTCAACTGAACCTTACAAAAGTTATGAAATAAATATAAAGAAAAAATTATACGTAGGAAAAGCACCACAAAATCTGAATTTAATAAACCTACCCAGGAATTCTATACATACCGGATGCAAATGATACAATCGGAGGCAATCTCAGGGACAGACAACGAAGCCCCATCTTTTTGGCTTTGGCTTTATTTATAGATCCTGGAAACAATTAACCACGTGACATGTTACAAGGGAGAATTACGGCACAATAAAAAATAAAAAAAACCTGCTAAATGATCTGGAATGCTTTACTGAATTAACTACTTTAATAATGATTACACTACATTAAGTAAAAATCAATAAGAAAATCACACCCTACAAATACACTAAGCAGGTTTAAACGCAGTCTTTCACTAATCGTTTTAGAAATACTGCTGGACTATTAATGTAATTGTGTAGAAAGAAAAAAAAAAACTGTATCCGCAAGGCTAGTGCAAGTAATAGTTCAAGGAAAGCCTAATGTTCAAACATCTGAGAAACAGTTTCAGTTTAATTTTCCAGCAGTGAAGTTAGAGCCTTCCCTGGGTGATATAACGGTATGACAGCCACTATAGACAGGATAACCCTACAATGGCTAGAACAGGGCGGGGTGGGCTGCCGGGAAGGTAAGTAAACGCTGCGGGCCCCCCACTGCTCAATCCATGCCACTGGACCACCAGGGATTGACATATCCCCCCCTCCCTGGCCAGGTAACAAGCAGGGAGGGGGGGGGACAAAAATAATAAAATATTTTAAAAAAAATAAAAATGTTTTCATAAAAAATGGCACCCACAACACTTCATTGAGCTAAAGTGGTCCTGATGTCTAGAGTCCCTTTAATGAAAGAGTTCTCTCCAAAGCTGAGAGTAAAATCTGGGGATACAAACAATAATAACTCACCATGCCCCAAGCTCTTACTGAGACGGTCATGAACAGTGGAAAAAGAATGCAATGTGCCGTCTTGCCCTGCAAAATGAAGACAATGACAATGGTGGACAATGTGAACAATCCTCTGTACACTCATGTGATCTTTTGCCTATAAAGCAGAAAGGGATTCACTCACTAAACCAGCAGATGTGGAGATTTGACAAGAGAATTGGATACTTAAGGCCAAGGTATAAGATGTGTGTGTGTGAGGAGGATATTATTATTATTCCAGCTTGGCTCTTTTGATCTAACTTTTGCCAATTCTCCAAAATTGCAATTTTGGCGAATAAACGACAATATAATTTTTTCTCATTCAAATGAAAATAATATTGCAAAAACACTTCACAATCGGTTACCTGCACTCAGGATCTGCTTCCCGTCTTGGCCATGGTGTCTAATGAATGTTGGTGGAGCACTGTGACCCAGGCGGAACCGCAGCAGCCGCCCTTGTCCCCCAGGGCCATCAAATATCCAAACCTATGAAATATAAAATAAAGCATTATTATAGAACTGATCAGGACTGATCATTGTAAGCTAAGGCCATCCTGGACATGGCAAAGATTCATTGATTATCCAGTTATGGTTCAAAGAAAATACACCTACTCCTCTAGACTACTATTCTGTTTCATCAGAGATTCCCCAGATAATAAATTAAAATATATAAATCCAAAATGGATATGACCCATTTTTAAAGCACTACATAATGCATTAAGAATTATTTGCAAAAATAATAAACTAAAAATACATTTGGGGAAGTAATACAAACTAAGAAAAAAAACTAAAAAAAACTAAAGCTTTCTGCACCTCCCAGAAATAATGAATAGCGTTATTTTTTTAAAGCAAAGAATACACAGCAAGATGGAAGGAAAGGAGGAATTACTGAACAAGATAATTTTTTTTTTTTTAGCAACTCACCAACAACCTAACTTACCAATTGCAGCGAATGAGTTGCAGCCAGAACAGTCCCTTCAATGACTAATACATCTAAGATAACAATGTAACTATATGGTTACTAAAGGGAATGTACAAAGCAGTTTTCTTCCAACAAAAATAGAGAATGCATGCTCCCCACGATCTAGGACACACGATAACTGGCATCAGGGGTAGGCAAAGCTTTAACGCTCCAAATGTTATGGACTACAACTCCCTGATGATTAGCCAGCATTATGGCTGTAAGAGCATTATGGGAGATGTAGTCTACAACATCTGGAGTGCCGATGGTTGCCTTACCTGACTTACATTAGGAACCCAGATACAGCACGATAACACAAGTTATAGATAAGGAGGAACACTACACAAAACAGAACGTGAAAGTGGACTTTCTCTTCCTGCATATAGCAATTTGAGGGTATGTAAAACGGACAAAATAAAAAGTTTAACCCAATGTGTGTGTGTGTATGTGTATGAGAAACTGAATATGTGAGTGGGACAGGCTATGGCAGTGAACACGTCACTGGCAGCTCAGAGCATTAACTGACAATGACTGCAGAGTCATATCAAACACATCATACTTGAATTCACTAGGACAACAGGTAGTATGTGTGTATGTACACACAGCATATTATACACTAAAAGTACTGCTCTCTTGGGGTGTCTCAGATTTGGTCTACACACGTTTCTATCTCCCTATGGCACTCTCAGTGCTCCAATTCCCCCAGTCAGAAAGTGTTGCAAAATAAGCCACATACAACCAATTCATGTCAAATGCAACAAAAAGAAAATTTAATTATTTAAATAATATGCAGAGTGTAAAGTTATTACCCGAATAGCATTATCAGCTCCGTTGGTTACAAGTAGAGGTTCTCCATGCACAAAGGTCAGGCCAGCAATGGCTGTTGCATGAGCATCTCTCATTTGATTCATCAGCTTTTTTTCTTCGAGATCCCACAGTCCTATGTGGCCAACAGGGCTTCCAGCTGCCATGATTGGATGTCCATCTAAAGAACAGTAAATGGAAATAAAGATAAAAAAAATGAGATTTTGTTTTATCTAATATATAAAGCACTAGAATATCCAAACAACTTTAAATTTGTGTGCTATGGCTATGTTTTCCCCAATTAAACTGATAGCACCCTGAATGGGGCGTAGATAAAATTATACTTTGACCCCACTGTGGTGGTTTTGGATTGAGGAATGGCCTGACTCTCTCCCAGGATAAGCAATCAAACGGTTCATGAAAAAGCTGACAACTTACCTGGTGTCCGTCAGGCACTGTTGATCACAGCCTCTTATGCAGCTGGAAGCTACAGCACCTTACTAAGTCTGGTGGTGTATGTTCAGCTAAACATGGCAGGGATTGGCTCAGTGGATGTAATGGAAGCTCCTAGCAGGAGCCTCATTCTGCTGAAGAGGCTGTGACTGGTAAGTTGTCATACTGTTCACAATCTGACTATTTATAGTGGGTGGGCTCCAGGGCATTCCCAGTACCATAAGCTTTACAGCAGGCTGTAGTGGTTATGGTTATTGGAGTGCTCCTTTAATGTTCCTAATTGATACTATAAATATCATCTAGAATCCTCTTTGACAAGTGGATGTAAAGTCATACATAAGGAAAAGGCTAGTCCAGGTGCAAACACCACTATCTTCAGTTCACGTCAACAGGAAAACGGTCGAGCAGTGTGAAGAACAGAGCTGCAATATGTAAAGCGGCATGCAGAGAGACCACTCTAAACATATTTACTGCTGGAAAAAGGAACTAATACACAGAAAAAACAGAGAGGTTCAGGTACTCCAAGGTTCAAGTAGGCAATTTATTCAAACTCAATGTCACACCGCAACGTTTCGAACTTTGACAAAGACCTTGTAGGTCAAAAAGTTGGAATGTGACATTGGGTTTGAATAAATTGCTTACTTGAACCTTGGAGTGCCTGGACCTCTGTGTTTTCTGCATATGGTATCTGGGACCTGGTGATGGGTCCAGATTTAGTTGCACCCTGGCACAGAATGATGTGATCGAGTGCAGTTCTTAATTCATTTTCTGGAAAGGACCAGTGTAAAGGAAATAAAAAATGTTTCAACCCTTATATATATATATATATATCAAGGAAAAATCTCACCTGTGCGAAACGATATAGATGTGATTGGACCCCAGTCTTGCTGAAATGTCATTAATGTTTCATCAAATTTTATGTTATGTAAAAAGATTTTTCCAGACGTTAGACCGATTGCCACCACATCCAGCGCTGGTGCCTACCAAATCACAGAGGAAAAGCTTGTAATTATTATATGACTTTCCCCCCATATCATAACATAAGCCTAGTAACTGTATATAAAGGAACATTCATTGGATATACATTGTGTGCTTATGTCCTTTCTATGCTCCAAAACTAGCTCCCTCCATAGCCTCCTCTGCTAAATAACCTTTAACCTTTAATCTTTAACAAAAGGATGTGTATATTAAACAGAGGCACCTTCATTCATTTTGCAATGAATTAAAATGCAATTTAGTTGGAATTCTAAAAATATGCAATATATTTCAAAAGTTAAATTCACGGATTCATTTTAGATTTGTTTTTTCATACTAAAAAAAGTGACTTCCATTAAAACCAAGAAATTAGGTGATTTACGTACTTGTTGAAGGACGGTAACACCAGACTCCCATCCTGGAAATGAAAACAGGAGTTTGCTACAAGTAACAAAAAAAAATAAGCATTGGTAGTCTGAAGAGAAGGTGGCAACTAAACATTGTGATTCCATGGTTAAAGCAGATCATTTCTAGGACAGTAGTTTCCATGTGAGTTTTTCAGTAGCTTGAAAAAGAAAAACAAACAACATCTTCACCCAACATCTATATATCAGAAGGTCTATGTACATTTAAGAAAATTAAATCTTTATTTAAAAAGGTTGACTTAGCACCAAAAGAACTTTAGCTGAAGGAGATGGTGTTGGTGTGTACATCACACCCCTTCAGTCCCACTGCTCAATTCTCTGCCTTTTAGGCATTAAACCACTTATATAACCTAAGGTTATGCAGCCCTAATCACACCGCACCTCAATGAAAACGTTTAGCATCCCTTATTGCAGAGTGTTTAATTTTGATTTTTTTTTTTTATCCCTTGCTCTGTTAATTGCCAGCAACAACCTCCTGGGTGATTAAAGCTCAATTAACAAAGCAAAAACAACAGATACTTACAGATTATTATTTCATGATTTGCTTTGAATTTATTTAATCTGTAAATTAAAGTATATGGAGGAAAGTAAAAGATACATGGCCAAACACTGGCGCCTATTGGATACATTTGTGCATGCATCACAGTATTTCTTTTATTTTTTTACTTTCTGATACACCACCTGGATCAAATGGACAGAGACACTTGGTACTTTAGTGGGGAGAGGAGGAGGAAATGAAGAAAGTGAAAAGGGGTTAAATAAAAGCAGTCATATCAGTTATCCAACATCAAGGCAGTCTGCTGCATAAAATGAGATCAATCATGATCATCTCTGAAAAACCTATGGGGTAATTACCACACCCTGCAGATGCAATGTTTCTCTATGAGAATCATTAGCCAAGTTCAGCTGTGAAGACCTTCAAAAAAAAAAAAAAAAGACTTAGGGAGGCAGTGGCTCTCTGACAGTTCCTAGAAGCATGTTCTCAAATGTAAACATTGCTGTTTGTCAGATATGGCAATGTTTTACGCTGAAGGAGAAAAAGGACATTATCTGTGTACCACAACCAACTCATGAAATGTAGTGGTTTTAGTGGTTAGAGTGTGCCTTTAAAGTGGGTCTGTCACAGTCATGAGTCCATGTATAATACGCAAAGAACACCGACAGTGACTGCTCTGCTAGGTGTCAGGTGGCCACAGGGGAAGGTGAGTTATACTAACCTGAACTTGTCCCTAAAGGCCACGGCCTCCATGGTCTTCCTGACAGTCCTCTTTAGTCCTGACGCCATCTGCCAGGAGCCCACATCAGTGATGTAAACTCGTTCATGTGCAAGAATGAAACACTGAGGTCTATGGAGGATCCCACAAGACAGCAGGATTCTCCATAGAAAGAGAGTTATTTTCCCTACAATCATCACTAGTAACCAAATGACAAGACTTGTCAATAGTAGCTTCACCTTTCGTCAAGCACAGGAAAAATAGTAAGAAAAGGTATTCCCTACTTCATCTTCGCATATCTTTTAACTACGTTGGAATTTCAGTAAAATTCAAACACTGTCAACGTGAGTATTTCATAAAAAATGTTATCGTTATGAAATAGTCAGTGGGGGGAGGCTAACAGTGCTGTTTTACCTATTTTGCATAAACATTAAAGAATTACTAATATAGACTATTACAACAGACTGTATATTAAAACTGTGCATAAAAATTGATGAAATTTAAATCCCAGGGTTCAATTATTGACTTAATTTGCTCTATCCTTACGGGAATATAAATGAAGAACTATAGCCAAGACATCACCACCACCGCAATGACCAGAGTCTTCTACAATGTAACTGTTCATTGTACACAACAGCAATTGTTAATAAAAAAAATAAATTTTTAAATATTCTGCAAGCTTTGCATCCGTGATACATATTTAAAATTCAATCTGTTACAACGCTGCATTTTGCTTACTTGGTTTTGACGTTCCACAGCTGAAGACTCCCTTGCTGGCTGCCGAGAAGAATTTTATTCAAGTATGTGCTTGGATGCATTATCGCAGAAACTGTGAAATTACTCTTATCGAAGGACAACTGGAGGTATTCCTCTATCAGAATAAAACATATAAATACTTGTCACCCATGATAGAACGGAATAAATAGAATACTGAATCAGTATAAGCAGTGCATACCGCGACTACACAGGCTAGTCTGAAAATACAGGGGGATGGAGAAAGTTAAAAGAAAGGAAAACTAAACAGAATAAAAATATAAGATAGTTTGTGTGTTCCATACCTTCTGTTTTGACGTCCCAGATTATTATAACATTATTTGCGTCAATCGAGATCACGTGATCACCAAAGGGCTGCACCAGGTGAATTTCAGCTTCATGGCCCTTGTAGGTGTGAACCACCTGAAAGCAGCATTGTTAAAATAAATAAAAACCCATACGTGTTAACAAATGGAATAGTATTTTCTGTTAATATAATTGCATTTGAATCAGCCAGAAATTGATGGAGGGATATTGGATTGCAAGGTAGCTCTTGGGGATTACACAATGATTACAAGTAAGGTTTGTGTAAAATAAAAAACCTTAGGTATGAAATTATTCAACTAATAACTAAATTATGCATGGAAAAATAAAAGACGTGGGGAGGAGCAGAATCTGCTCAAAATAAAGGTTAAAATAGTCAAACTATGATTTATATAAATTGTCTGGATGTCCAAGTGCCTTAAACCCTGTTTGTGGGACAAAGGGAGTCACATATCAAACGAATGCATGCTGTCTTACTTTAACAGAATCCGTGGTGAGGACATTAAAATAAAGTGGATGAGAGAATGCTGATCGTCCCTTGAAGCCTATGATCTGTACATATACATTATTGGTGTAAAGTTAAACTAACCACAAGTTACACTAAAGTGTCATGGTGAATAATAAATTGATAAATGAGGAAAAATAAAAGACAACTGCATTTTTATATAAATCAGGGATAATATGAATGGGAAAAAAAAACAGGTGACATTTTCATTATTTTTCTGAAGGTAAATGCTGAGATGTTTTAGAGCTACAACGTACATTACATAAATGATTATTTCATATAATCAAAAGTGTTTTTCTAAACAGATAGGTATATACAGACCTCTTTGTTCCTTGCAAATGCCGTGAGAATGTTTCCATATGATGCAAACACAAGCATTCTGTCTGCTGCCAGGCAGCTGATACTTTCTGGAAGTGCATTGCCTACAAACAGTAAGAAATGCAGAGTACATTAATATATTTAGATGTGGGAAGGTCCTAGCACAAACTCTGGCAGTTTGGTGTCTGCCAACTTCAACTCAAGCTGCATGTGTTCTCTTGTTATATACCTAAACAGTGAATCAGAGAACTCTACAAAAACAGACACATTTGTATGTGCAACTTCAAAAAAAAAAAAAAAAAATTATAATAATAAATCTAATTCTAAGAAGAACATTTAACAAAAAAATATTTTAATTATGTCTCCCATTAGTGCCAAAATAATTATTTTGCAGTAAGCAAATATTCTATCTGGTGTGATGTCTGAATTTTAAAAGTTTGAAACTACACCTTATACCAGATAAATGTGCCATAATAGTTAAAGGACTACAAGCACCAAAACGTTTACTCTTTTATTGGCTATTGATGTCTCTGCTTAGGAGGCTACTTTATGATATTGAAGCGTGCATTTTTAGCTACTTTTGATAAAGTTCTATAAAGTGTTATACATTGTTTCATGTTTTCTTTTTAATAAAAGGCATCTTATGAGTTGCCTTATTTAGTTCAACGGATTATGTTATATGTAGTGTGGCACCTTTTAGCAGGGGCTTGATTTACAAATATTTTTCATTACACTGAAGGTATCAGGTTTACTACATACATCTAATAAACCCTTTCATTGCTGGAGCAGTTGGTTTTATTATGCTATCTATGTGATTGGAGCGCTCCCACTACTTTATATCTTTGATATTTCATTCCTCTAGTCGCTCATACTTGTTGTGAAGCAGCTCACTTTATTGAGAGTGATATTCAATATTTATATATATATATTTTTTTTTTATTTTTTTTTCATTTTAATACTTTTCCAGCTAGTATATTTTGTTTATGTTGTAACTTATATTTACAGGCTACATCTCCTTAAAAACACAGATTTCTTACTTTTCACAACTGAAAATAATTTTCCCACAAGTACTTACTGACAGCAATCTGTCCAAGCTTATTCACCTATAAATTTAAAAGAAGGGAAAAAAATTAGGTTCCACCTCTTTAAGAAGAAAAAAAAATAATGAATTATATGCCAATAACAGACACAAGAATAAACAAATAGAAAACCGTGTGCCTTGCTAATGGTGACATTCTAGATTCAGCTCATGGCACTTCAGCTGCCTGGGCTGCATTCTCCTGCATGCGCAAGAGAACTAAACGGATGTCTATGGAGGATCCTGTGATTATACTTAAGTCAGAACAGCAGCGAGATGGAATATGAATTGTAAAATGCTAGAATTTGTTCAAGCGCTGAAAATCAACCTATTTGGCCCTGGCACCATAACCACTTCAGGGAGCTGCAGTGTTTATGGTGTCAAGATAGCTCCTTTAATATAATTACAAACATTACAAGCAGCAGCCTATTCAGACCTGGTACCATAACCACTTCAGGGAGTGCAGTGCTTATGGTGCCATGACAGCTCCTTTAAGGTTATTACATTACAAGCAGCAGTCTATTCAGCCCTGGTACCATAACGACTTCAGACAGTGCAGTGTTTATGGTGCCATGACAGCTCCTTTAAGATTATTACATTACAAGCAGCAGCCTATTCAGCCCTAGTACCATAACCACTTCAGACAGTGCAGTGTTTATGGTGCCATGACAGCTCCTTTCAGATTATTACATTACAAGCAGCAGCCTATTCAGCCCTGGTACCATAACCACTTCAGACAGTGCAGTGTTTATGGTGCCAGGACAGCTCCTTTAAGATTATTACATTACAAGCAGCAGTCTATTCAGCCCTGGTACCATAACCACTTCAGACAGTGCAGTGTTTATGGTGCCAAGTTTAGGATTATTATTATTATGAGGCAGTTCCAGTGCAGTCATTGAGTACCAGCCAGCATGTTATTGATGTTATTATTGATGATGTTGTTGAGTGTTATTGGTGTCATTATTGATGATGTTATTGGTGTCGATGTTATTATTATTGATGTCATTGAGTGTTATTGATATTATTGATGTCATTATTGTTGTTATTATTGATGTCATTGAGTGTGTCTGTCTGGCTCTGTGTCATATTATTATTGGTGTTATTATGTGTCTGTCTCTGCATGTCTGTCTCTCACGTTGTAGGTGATGTTATTGATGTCATTGAGTGTTATTATTGATTTTATTATTGGTGTCACACTGAGTGTCTGTCTGTCTCGGTCAGTAAATACTCACGTTGTAGGTGATGTTATTGGTGTTATTATTGGTGTCGCTCTGTCTCTGTCGGTCAGTAAATACTCACGTTGTAGGTGATGTTATTGGTGTCACTCTGTCGGTCAGTAAATACTCACGTTGTAGGTGATGTTATTGATGTCATTGAGTGTTATTATTGGTGTCACACTGAGTGTCTCTGTCAGTAAATACTCACGTTGTAGGTGATGTTATTGGTGTCTCTCTGTCTGTCTCTGTCAGTAAATACTCACGTTGTAGGTGATGTTATTGATGTTATTATTGGTGTCTCTCTGTCTCTGTCTGTCTCTGTCAGTAAATACTCACGTTGTAGGTGATGTTATTGATATTATTGGTGTCACACTGAGTGTCTCTGTCTCTGTCTGTCAGTAAATACTCACGTTGTAGGTGTTATTATTGGTGTTATTATCTGTCTGTCTGTCAGTACTCACGTTGTAGGTGATGTTATTATTGGTGTCTCTCTGTCTGCTTCTCTCTGTCAGTCTATACTCACGTTGTAGGTGTTATTATTGATGATGTTATTGGTGTTATTATCTGTCTGTGTAAATACTCACGTTGTAGGTGTTATTATTGGTGTCTCTGTGTCTGTGTAAATACTCATGTTGTAGGTCATGTTATTATTGGTGTTATCTGTCTGTGTCTGTCTCTCTGTCAGTCTATACTCACGTTGTAGGTGTTATTATTGATGTTATTATTGGTGTTATTATCTGTCTCTGTCTGTCTGTGTCTGTGTAAATGCTCACGCTGTAGGTCATGTTATTATTGGTGTTATTATCTGTCTCTGTCAGTATATACTCACGTTATAGGTGATGTTATTGATATTATTGGTGTTACACTGAGTGTCTGTCTCTCTCTCTGTCTGTCTCTGTGTCAGTATATACTCACGTTGTAGGTGATGTTATTGATATTATTGGTGTTATTATCTGTCTGTCTGAGTATATACTCACGTTGTAGGTGTTATTATTATTGATGTTATTATTGGTGTCTGTCAGTCTATACTCACGTTGTAGGTGATATTATTATTGGTGTTATTATCTGTCTCTGTCTATACTCACGTTGTAGGTGATGTTATTGATATTATTGGTGTCACACTGAGTGTCTCTGTCTGTGTCGGTCAGTCTATACTCACGTTGTAGGTATTATTATTGGTGTTATTATCTGTCGGTCAGTCTATACTCACGTTGTAGGTGATATTATTGGTGTTATTATCTGTCTGTCTCTGTCTGTGTCAGTAAATACTCACGTTGTAGGTGTTATTATTGGTGTTATTATTGATATTATTGGTGTTATCTGTCTGTGTCTGTCTGTGTCTGAGTATATACTCACGTTGTAGGTGTTATTATTGATATTATTATGTCTGTCTCTCTGTCAGTCTATACTCACGTTGTAGGTGATGTTATTGGTGTGTCTGTCTCTGTCTGTCTGAGTATATACTCACGTTGTAGGTGTTATTATTGGTGTCTCTGTCTGAGTATATACTCACGTTGTAGGTGTTATTATTGGTGTCTCTGTCTGAGTATATACTCACGTTGTAGGTGTTATTATTGGTGTCTCTGTCTGAGTATATACTCACGTTGTAGGTGTTATTATTGGTGTCTCTGTCTGAGTATATACTCACGTTGTAGGTGTTATTATTGGTGTCTCTGTCTGAGTATATACTCACGTTGTAGGTGTT